GGGGGGGCACGGGGCTGTGCTGCAGCAGTTGGGTACCTGGATAGTTCCGACACCCTCCAGCAGTTGAGCCTCTCCTCCAGCTCTCGGTGAACAGAGTTGAATTCCATTTGAGGACCTGCTCACTGCTCAGTGTGTCTGGGGTCAGATTGCAAATCTCCAGGCGGGAATAATGTCTCACAAACTCAGGGAATGCCATCCTTGGGGAGAGAAAACATTCCGATTATTGATCAGGGATAGCACTCAATCCGACCGGGAGGGCACAGTAACATTGTTCAGTTGGGAATTGGAAAGTTTGAATGAATGATGATATTTAGGCAGTGAGTTGTGTTGAGGGTGGAGAACACTCAGACATTATTAGCACGGAGTCGGTAACGCTCTCCCCTACACAGTGCACTGCTGGAAAATGTCAGCTCATCCACATTGACCCTGAAGGGGGCAGAACAGGGACTTTCCAATTTGTGAGAAACTAGACACAGCAGGATCCCACAGAGACTTGGCAAGCGTGGGCTAGCTGGTGTACAGAACATGGCCAGCAGTGAAGCGAGAAAGCAGTTCACCTCCACCTTCACAAGGGGCAACTAGGGACAGGGCAATAAGTGTTCACGCTCCACCTTGTGCAGTGAAATGATGAACTAGTTCTTCACTCACAGGCTTGGAAAATGCTCCCACAGTCACCGAGTAATTCCAGGTCAGCACTAAGATCCAAACCATCAACACTCAGTTTGGTCAGGGGAACGTATTAGGACAAAATGGGAGGCAAGGCAGTGAGGGCAAAGGTCAACACATCCCAATCACTGGGCCAACACACTCAAATGGATCCACAGTCTCCTGCTGTTCCTGTGTGACAGGCTCAAGAGAGAGGGCTGAATGGCCTCATGCTGTTCCTAAGTAACAGGCTCAAGGAGAGGGCTGAATGGCCTCCTGCAGTTCCTGTGTGACAGGCTCGAGGAGGGGGCTGAATGGCCTCCTGCGGTTCCTGTGTGAGAGGCTCAAGGGGCTGAATGGCCTCCTGCTGTTCCTGTGTGACAGGCTCGAGGAGGGGGCTGAATGGCCTCCTGCTGTTCCTGTGTGACAGGCTCGAGGAGGGGGCTGAATGGCCTCGTGCTGTTCCTGTGTGACAGGCTCGAGGAGGGGGCTGAATGGCCTCCTGCTGTTCCTGTGTTAGTAGCAATGCTGAAGTAAATCAGACTTCCAGCAGCAGGAAGGTCAGGAAGCAGATGGACAGAGATATCTACACAAGAACAAAGCTGCTGGAAAAGCTCAGCAGGTCTGGCAGCATCTGTGAAGGAGAAAACAGAGTTAATGTTTCAGGTCCGATGACCCTTCCTCAGAACCGGACCCGAAACATTAACTCTGCTTCTTCCCTCCACAGATGCTGCTAGACCTGCTGAGCTTTTCCAGCAACTTTGTTCTTGTTACTGATTTACAGCATCTGCAGTTCTTTCGGTTTTTATTTAGCGAATATATACAATCCGGAATCAGAGAGACAGCAGAGAGACGGCAGAGAGAGGGAGGGAGGGAGAGCAGAGAGGGAGGGAGAGCAGAGAGGGAGGG